AAGCAAGCAAGAAAGAAAGCAAGAAAGCAAGAAAGCAAGAAAGCAAGAAAGCAAGAAAGAAAGAAAGAAAGAAAGAAAGAAAGAAAGAAAGAAAGAAAGAAAGAAAGAAAGAAGGAAAGAAAGAAGGCACATGCAAGAAAGATGAAAAGTCAGGTAAAGGGAGAAAGATGAGGTGCAGCTCAAATAGGCATCTAACCTCTGTGGAAGGCAGGCAACCTTCATCTGTAAGAGTACAAAGAGTAAATGTGGACCATGGTAGAAATTCTCAGAAGACAGAATCTTGGTTCAACAGAAAGAAAAAAAAATCCTTCCACCAATGAATGCTTTCCAGGAAAATAAGGTAGTGATCCCTCTGTTACCAGGAGCATGTAAACAGAACACCCACCTGCCTCTGATGCCACAAAGGGATTAATTTCAGCGTTCAGTGGGTGGCTCATCTAGACATTTCCTACTCTTTGGTTCTGTGAAATCCCAGGGAAGGCTGAGCATTATGCAGAGAGGAGGAGACTTCACTCTTGCCTGTCCGTGGAGACTGCAGCCAGGTGCTGAACTGCAGCTGTGCACCCTGGAGACTCACTCAGCTATTCCATCCCTCAAGCTCCGGGAAGCCCCTTCACCACCAGCAGCCCTTGGGTCAGAAACTAGAGAACTAGAGTACATGGAGAGAGCTGCAGGGAGGGAAAGACTGAGGACAGCAAGGGATGAGAAGGGGGAAGCTTGGGACAGAGGGCAGGCAGTGGCCCAATACAGCCCCAGAAGTAGCTTGGGCACAGGACAGACAGGTAAAACAAGAAGAAAGTATCGGAAAATATGCACCAGGGTCCTAGATGGCTTAGTCCTGCGTCATTTGAGACTAGAAATGCTTATGTCTGGGCTTGGAGTCAGTCAGTAATGGAAAAGAATATTACCCTGGATATGATTTGGGAGAACCAAGCAGCTCTGGCACTTCTGCCCACAGGTAGAGAGCCTACCCCTAAGACCTCCTCACCCAGCTCTTCCGCTCTGAGATTCGGAACCCAGGTTGTCACATGAGGAGACTAGCTTTAGTCTCAGCAATCAGGCCAAGGCCATGGCCAGTGCAGAGGAACAGGACCTCCTGCCCATCTTTTGGTGGCAACCCAAGCCCAACCTTGGATGAAAAGATCCTGAATGTAACAGGGAAAGAAATGATCTGCTCAGTGGAAGGCAGCAGGCCCTGAGCCCCAAAGTCCCGTGTCAGCTCCTATTTCACACGACCATGTTCACTGGCTGTCATAAGCCTTCAACCTGCAATTCTAAAAATCCCCTCTAGCCCAAACGCTAGAGGGGACTTTTAGCATTCAGGGAAAGGAGGAGGAAGGGTTGTCCATACTCTTTCCAGGTCTTATAGAGCTCCTGGAATCACCAACTATGCCTCTGAGTGGAGCTTCTGGTTCCGGGTGTGCTTACACACACACACACACACACACACACACACACACACACACACACACACACACACGCTCTGTTACCTAGAGTCACATCTCCACTCTTCACCAAGGTACTGAAGAAAGAACAGGGAAAAACATGAAAGCAGGTCATCCCACAGCACTCAAAGCAAATCCATGAAGCAATCCTTTCCCAGCCCTCCTCCCTGAAGCCCGGGGGCCTTAGAAATGGATAGCTTCCTGTCTTCCTTCCTCAATTCTATTTGGTCTGTGCTTCTGAGGGCAGAGAGCTGTTGTCATGGAAACCCCTCCTTGGATGCCAGACACCTTCTGTGAAAAAACTGGGACTAGGAACTAACTCCAAGATCCCAGGTTCTTTCACACCCTGACCTTGGGCCATCTCGATTGTTTGACACTGCCCATTATTTTCTGGAGGGCTGAATGGCGGGGGGGGAAGCTGAGTGTCTGAGGGACTGACTTTGCCTGAATCTTTAGGGGAAGTGCTGCTGATGAGCTGAAGTAGGATTTGGGCTACAACTGTAATTTTAACTTCTACGTTAATACAAGCACTCATTAATCCACCAGGATGTTTACAAGGTCTAATCACTGCCCTCTTATAGGATGAGCCATTGGAGGGGTCTCTTCTACTCAATTATATGGGGAAACTGAGTCCCAGAGGAAGAAGTAGAACTCAGGACTCTTGGACAAGGATTTGGAAATATTACCTTCTGCTTTGCCCCAGAGCTGGCCCGGTGGCCTTCCTCCAGAGTCAAAACTATCTCATGCGGACTATCAAGCTAGGACACTGAAACTGGCCTATTTCCCCTGGGGCTTACCCTCAGCCTTCTAGGTTTCCAGGGTTCTTTGGGGGACTCTGGTTACTTGGCAGCTCTCAGGTTAGGGAAGGGCCCGGGAGTCTGTTTAGATCATCTGGACCCCAGTTGAGTCTGGGGATGGGACCATCAGATCTCAGTTCTTACGCTTTATTCTGGGAAGGCTCTTATTTGGGAAGTTGGTACTGAGATGGCACCAGAGAATACACATAAACTGATACTGGCCTCATGAAAAACTCCATGACCGTAGCCATGGGGAGACATCACAGCAGGATTCTCTCCAGACGCCACTCTGTTCTACAGCAGAGCCTGTCCTGACATAGGGCACGCTTGTATAGGCTCTGGGGTGACAATCAGCTCTACTATCCCCTTTAGTCCTGGTCAGTGTGCTCTCTACCTCATCTTCACCCAGGGAAAAGGCTTGGCCTAGAGCCACCAACTGCCACCCTATCATCTGATGCCAGACAGTGTATTCTGGAGCCCCATGCCACCCTGCCCTGATCTTCTCAGCCAGAGGCAGGTACAGCAACCTCTGCGGACTTCCCACCTGTCTCCTCCATCCTCTATGGGGGCGTACTCTTAAAACTGCTCTCCTGGCCCAGGACATGCCATCTCCATCAGAGCCTCCACACCTGTGAGCTCACCCTCCTCGTAGGTCTCCCACGGAAGAGCTGTAACTGAGGGCTCGGCATTCAGCTCAGGCCCTTGCATTTCAGGCCATCATCTGCCCAGCTAGAAAGGGAGGGGTTCCCTGGTCACCCTCTAATTGTTGAGTGGTCTCGTGGAAGTGTGCTTGGGGAAATGACAGCTGAGCAGGGTAAAGTCACCATAGCTCAGCTTCTCTTCCCCTCCTGCCCCAGTCAGCTCTCTGACCATCTGCCAGAGTGTCTGTAGTAACCCATCTTGAGAAGCAGCTAAGAGGCCTTTGATGGACGGTTGGGGAATGCCTGGACTATGGAGGGCTTGATTAGCTGACCCATCCCAAACAGAGGATGCTCTGACCTTGAAAATGGGGCTGTGCCCTCTACCTGTCCCACCCACACTCATCTCCCCTTGCCCAAAGCACATGAAGGCCCTTCCTCCCCAGTCCTCCCATTCTTTCAGGCTGTGCTCATTCCAAGGCAGCCTCATGTCTCATCACAATTCCATGACCTCCTTCTTCAGAGAGGCCTCCCTTCTCACGTCCCTCTCTAGAATGCAACCTTCTTGATGCCTAGTGTTTTGTTTTCCTTATTGTCTATGTAAGCCGACCGAATGGCAAACTCCTTGAGGGCAGGGCCTCTGAACGGCTCGACGACAAGCAACAGGGTGGCACTTCCCCCTGGCACTTCTGCATACTCCATCCCATCCCCCCTTTTCACTGTCAAATCGAATTTGGGGGGCAGCTTTCTAAATGGACAAGACTGTTTTCCTCCCTTTGCCCTTGTGCAGTTTCCTAACTGCCTCTGCGAAAGCCATCTGTGTCAGAGGCAGAATCCTTGTTCATCAGACCCTCACCACACCACGGGCGGGGATGTCTTCGGAAGACTGCAGCAGTCTGAACAGGTTTCCGTCCGCATTCTCCAGGGACCTTGGGCCAGAACCCGCTACTCCCTCCATCCATCCGGTCACTTGGACCGCCACCCTCCTCTCAGCCCCGCCCCTTCACACGCTCACGACACGCCCCTTCCCAGCCCCCAGCAGAGCCCGTAAGGGTCTGCAAGGTACCCAGGAAGATAGGGTCCCTGGGCTCTGGCGCCTGAGGACCCACATCCCATCCACTGCAACAAGTCTGTGCACCCAAGGTGGCTCGCAGCCGACCTCCCGCAGCCCCTGTACTGACAGTGCAAGCTTCTGGGGTACTTGAGCCTCATCAGGCCCACCCTCCATGTATCCCTGTATGGGGACAGGGGATCTACAGAAAGAAAGCACGGTTCCCCGGCTGGCTCCGGGTTTTTTGCTCGGACTGTTCAGGCTTGGAGAACAATGGAGCAGCTCTCCAGCTTCCTCCACCGAGGAAGCTTTGTTCCTCCCTTCCCGCCAGCTTGGCTTTCATTAGCCAAAGGGCAAAGGCTTCTCGGGAGTCTCCGCGCAAAAGCCCAGACCTTTCCCTAAAACACTTAGGGGAATGGGGGTTGTGGTTACTTGGGGCTGAGGAAAAGGATGCGCATCCAGATGCGCGCAGCTGGCTGCCCGCCCGCCTCCCTGGCCCCAGACACTTCTTGTTGCCAGGTCCCCCACACCCGGGAAATCCGACTCAAGCTCCCACCCAGGATCCACAGAGGAAGTGGCGCCTCAGCTCTGCTCCAAGGACCAACTGGCCCTCACATCTGCTCTCCCTACATCTGTGCTCTAGATCTGGGCTCTTCCCAATGCTCTCCTAGCAATGCTGGACGCCGTGTTATCCAGCACAGACCACTCCTCACCTAGCGTCTCTACCAACCTCACTGTGGTTAGCCATATTAGGACTCTGGACTTCAAAATTCAGGGCAGATAATGGTTTCTGAGAACCTAAGTCCCCCCTGCCCCCATTGTCCACCCTCACCTCCGGCAGGCCACAGCAGAACCCAGACTCCCATCAGCGACATCTTTAAGACAGTCAGTCATTAGCTATACACAGCTGAAGGTAGGCCAGCTCTGCACATCTGGACAGTAATGCCCCTCCTAACCTGGCCAATAATCAGTGTATGGAAAAAGGGAGGAAGGTTCCCTTTCCCCACCTCTCCCTTCTGCCGGCCAGGAGAAAACCAGGGGCGGGGTGGGGCGGGGCGGCAAGACTTACCCAGCATCTGGCTGAAGAGTAGCTGCTCCAGGTCGCCCAGCACGGTCACCACCAGCTCGGGGTCCACCTTAAGAAAGGCCCGCTCCTCCTGGCCCTTGGCTGAGGGCACGGTCCCTGAGCCCTTTTGCGCCTTAGCCTTGCTGGAAAGCAGCTCATCATCCGATTTGCCATCGTCGCTCACCGCTGCCTCAGGCGCCTTGCTGAGAGGCTTGACCTCCGCATAGGGTCCGCGAGGAATCCGGCTAGGTTTGCCTAGGCTGGGCGCTAGTGGAGCCAGTGGGGTCTTGGCGCCGCCCGTAGGGCCGCCTTTGGGCTGGAAGAGCGAATGCTCTGATTTGGACAGTGTCTTAGACATTAGAGGGGCCTCGCGGCCCTTGGGCCCCAATTTGCCCAAACCCTTGGGTGCCTTGGCCATATCATCGCTCCACTCAGGCTCATACAGCTGCAGCTTTTTCTCGGAGTCCGTGAGAAACGAGAGGTTGGTGAGCGACTTCTGTTTGCGCAGGTTGGAGGCCGGCGGCCCACCGGGGACACGGCTGTCCACGCTGCCGGACTTGAAGACCTTCAGCTCCGCTGCGCTGGCCTTGGCCATACTGCCACTGCCGCCGGCCGCCTTGGCGCGCTTGGGCAGCATGCCTCTGCCGTCCGCCGCGGTCGCCTTTCTGCTGGCTCCCCGAGGCTCGTCCGCGCCCTCGTCGCCGCCGCTGCCGCTGCCGCCGCTCAGCTCCACCTCGGGCTGCACGCTCTTGACGCTGCTGCCCAGCATTCTGCCTGCCAGGAGCGCATGGACGATCCGCGCGTCTGCAGGCACGGGGCGGGGGAAGGAGGGGGGAGTGCCGGGAGAGGAGGGGGCGGAGTGGGGGGGGGGGGAGACGGAAGAAACCGCGGAGGAAGGGGAGAGGAAGGGGAGGGAGCAAGGAGGCGAGTGGAGGGTGAAGGGGAAAGAAACGCAGGGAAGGAAGCCCGGGAAGAGGAAAAGGCAAGGAAATAGCGGGCGATGGGGCGGGGTCGAAGGAAAAGGGGCGGGGCAGGGAGAATATAAATTAAAAAATTTAAATCAGTCAAAAGAAGGATGGAAGCCGGGAGGCTCCGTCAAAGCGGGGACGTGCAACCGTGCTCGGATCTCAGCTAGGTCGCCCGGCGGCGGTCGATCTATGCGAAGGGCCGCACACTCTCAGGCAGCGCCCACACTATACTCCTCCTTCCAGCTTGTGGAGAGGCTGCGGGCTGCAGCTCCCAGCGAAGAAGGGGAGGGGGAGGCGGGGAGCAAACAGGAGGAGGGATGGAGTGTGCGCAAGGGGAGGGAGGTAGGGGAGACAGTGTGTCTATTTCTGGCTCGGGAGGGGGAGGTGTCTGTGAGCTGAGCCCTGGGGGCACAGAAAGGATCCCACCAGTTTTTTCTCCTTGCTTCCTGCTGAGAGATGGGGTACTGCATCCGGGAAACTGTATCCGTGGAGAAGATTTAGGGGTACAGGTAAAGGTACTGAGAAAGGGTTATCTGTGAAAGAGTTGCCCCACAGGGTCTTGGGTAGAAACCGGCAGAGCCTCAGGGAAGTTCCCACAAACTACCTTTGGTTTCCCCCAGGAAAACTCGCTTTCTACCTTTAGTCTCTAGGGCACAATTCACCCTCATAAGCCCTGAAGGAAAGGGACACAGTACACGACAGGGTGGTTTAAACAGGGACCAAGGGGGGTTGGGATGCAAAAGGAAGGGGTTAACCCTTGGGAGCAGGCGTCTGAGTACCACTTGATCACGTGACCTTGTCAAAATCATTGGAGCTCTCTGGCTGTCTGTCACTCTTACAGACATTGTAATACTAGATTCCTAGGTAAAGGGGCTTTGGAAACCTAAGGACTCAGAGGAGACTTCATCAGTCCCTTGGCTGCAGAACTAATTAAAAAGATCCTGGATATGTCCGTTCCATCAGCATGGGAGCTCGCCAAGTGCCACACCAGCCCAGAGTAGGTGTTAATGGTTAAACGACTCTGAGGGCTGAAGGCTGGACACCAGGTGCTGACCAGAGCCCAGGAGACTCTAACTTCCTCCATCCCAGGGCTGGATTGAGAGTCTCTAAACCTTTCTAGGACAGGGAGTGTAGCAGAGAGGTGTTTGACAAGATCAGTGGACTTTCAGCTGGCCTTAGAGATCCCAGGAAAGATGGAGAATCTACCCTCAAGCTCCTAGTTCAAGCAAGAGAAAGAACATCTCTGATCCCACAGACTACTTGTAATAGTGTCACAAACAACTGGAACTGGAGATCCTCCTGCCTCAGCCCTCTGGGTGCTGGGATTATAGACACACCATCATTTCTAAAGCCCTCATTCTTTTGTTTTGTTTTGTTTTGTTTTTTGTTTTTCGAGACAGGGTTTCTCTGTATTGTTTTGGAGGCTGTCCTGGAACTCGCTCTGTAGACCAGGCTGGCCTCGAACTCACAGAGATCCTCCTGCCTCTGCCTCCCGAGTGCTGGGATTAAAGGCATGCACCACCAACGCCCGGCTTAAAGTCCTCATTCTTATCCATCTGTCATTCCTTAATTTATACAAGACTTCCCCAATTCAATCATATGGGAATGTTGCTTTCTCTAAAAACTGCAGTATGGAAAAGGATATCTGTGGGCTGATTTGCCAAGTTCTTGATTGTTGTTGGTAGTCCTCCCTCCCCTCCCCCCCCCCCTGCCGATTACGGTTTCATCTCTGCCTTAGCTAACAAAATTGGCTAATTGCCATCCTGGCTGAACAACACTGTGTCCATCCACCCATGTCTACTGCTACACCCAATGCACCTGGCTTAACTTGACCCCTCATTTCTGTCCATATCTGTAGTAAAGCCTTCAACATTTTATGAAACCCTAGGCCATGTGTTGTTCTGGCCACCTGCATTTCCTTTGCCCCGGATGCCGACTGCCCCCGGGACCCCACCTTCCCTCCACCATGGCTGTCTCACGCCTTCATTTGATTCGGTGTGTTAGCTTAGTTCTTCCTCTTTGTTCCTCTGAGCCTCCCCTCATGGGATATCATATTCCCCAATCTCAATCCCTTTTCTTCCTTCAACAAACAGTCCCTGAAATTCTGCTTCTCTTTAGAAGACAGAGCAGATAAAGGGTAGGCCACTCCTCAGACCTTTGGATGAAATCAAGTTGGTACCTGTTCTTATCAGAAGAGAGGTACCGCCCCTTCCTACCTTCTAAGTCTGGGTCCCTCTCCCTCCCACACAGCACATCACCTGTCGGTTTCTGAGGTGTAAAATGCTGTCTATGCACAGTCATGAGCTAACTCACTGCCAGTTCTCCTGCTGCCTTTAAAGGGTCTTGCCATGGCCAGGTTGTGGTCCCTTTAAATACTGCCTTGGCATTTTGGCATCTTGGGATATGCCAAGGCTCCCTAATACCACCTCTACCTTTATCTCACTCTTTTTTTATTCTTTTCACATCCTCTGAGTTTCCCAACCATCCTCTTCTGTAGTGAGAATGCTCGGCTGCCGTGGCAACAGCCGTGCTGGCATCCATCGATAAAGCTGGTGTGTACAGAGCCTTTGCTACAGTGATTCCTGAAAAGAAGGGGTTCTGTCATGTTGTACTACTCCCAAGGTCAACCCTGAGCTCCTATTCATCAGTCATTTCCCCCTTTGCTCAAGTGGTTCATTGCATGGAGACCAGTGGTCATCAAGGGATGATGGCAAGATGAGGGAGAGAATGGGCTGGGCAGATGGAGGGTGATGATGATGTCAGTAAACTTATGTGAGGGCTGGTCCCTGTCAGTTCCTATTGGTGAGGTGGGGAAGGGGATGGTTTGGAATCATTTATATCTTCAGTTCCTCAGTCTCCTAAAGCAAGCTCGATACCCCCATTGCTGCCAGTTTCTGTACTGGAAATAGGTTGTGTAATTTGACCATATTTGTTGACTGATATCTTGACGAAATTTGAGGAATGAAGATGTAGGCATTGGGCCAGGGAAAGGCATGCTATGGGACTTCACGTTCTCATACCCCTGTGACTGGAAATGATGTAACCCAGGGTGAGGGGGTGGTGGTCTGGGGCTCTGCCTGATATGATAGTGTTAGCAGAGCTGGAAGGAAGGCAAAAGAAGAGAGAAGAAAGCAGAAATGAGAGCTTGACTGTTCCTGCCCCGATGACCTTGAAAGGTGACCTTGGAAGAAGAGAGTGTGAGGGAGAGAAGAGTGAGCCGAGGAGTCCACACTTTGCTCCCCACATAGCACAGGGCAGAGTCTGGGGACAGGCAGCATTCTTGTTTCTGGGAAAACAGTCAGGATCCAGAGAACAAGGACTAGAAACCCAACCATGTGACTGCAAGCCTAGCCTGTCCATCCTGGGTTAGGGTTGGGGGTACCTCAACCCCCAAAAGTGACAAGCTCTTTCTTTAAGGCTGTCTGGGCTCATCCTCCTATGATAAGCCTTCTCGTCACTTCTCAAGCAGATTCTGGCACCCCCATTTCTATAGAATGCCCTCTGTCTATTGCTCCCCACACTCTATCGGGTCATTTCCCTATGTCATTCTGTCCCTCAGTGGAGACTTCAGAATGCGCACAAGGCCATGCTGGAGACTATGGAAACAGCTGGTGTTTAAACACCAAGTCTCTAGACATCCCCTTCCCATTGCTCAGGCTAGTGCAGGGTCCATTGGGTAGCAGAACACAAAACAAAATATTCTTGTCCTTATGCAGTTTATATTCAAATGGGAAAGATAGCAAATTATCTAGAGATACCAGCTACTTAAAAGCACTAAGGAGGGGCCAGCAAGACAGCTCAGTGGATAATTGAACTTGCCACTAAGCCTGACAACCTCTGTTCCATTCCCAGAACCTGCATGGCAGAACTGACTCCTGAGAGTTGTCCCCCAAGCTCCTGTAGACACACACAAAATAGGCGTTAAAATGCGAAAGAGAAAAAATAGAAATAAGAAACTCCTGGTGCATTTTAAAGGAAGATAAAAGGCTGGAGAGACAGAAAAGGAAGGGAAGCTGCAGAGAGTGGGAAGAGGTGTGCTAGGAAGTGGGTCACAGAAGGCTTTTTAGGTCTTTGTATAAGGGCTTGCCATCTGGGATAACACTGGCAGGGCCGGGAGAAACCTGTCTTCCCCTGGGAAACGATCACTTTGAGTCTTATGTGGGGGCCACTTGTGGGGGTCATTGGCTGAAGTGGTGAATCCAGTTGAAAGACGATGGTGACGGGGATGGTGGTCTTGAGAATTGGTCAGCAATGGTATGCATTGGAGCCGTTAGAATTTCTCTTTGGTTAAATGTGGGTATGTAGGAAAGAAAGGGATCAAGAATATTTTCCCAAGGTTTGAATGGGAATTTCTCTTTTGTTTGGTTTTTGTATTTCAAGACACAAGGTTTCTCTGTGTAGCCCTGGGTGTGTGAAATTCGTTCAGGCTGGCCTTGAACTCAAAGATCTGCCGGTTATGCACCACCACAGGCTTTCCTTTGTTGCTGTTGTTAAGACAGGGTCTCACCAGGCTAGCCTTGAACTTAGTATGCTCGTGCTGTAGTCTTTTCTGAATTCTGAAATTACACGTGTGCCACCAAAGCCAGCTCTCCTCAACCCCTTGTGAAGGAGAATGCTCCCTCCTCCCTTAAGGATGGCATCCCACCTCTCCCCACAATCCCGTGCAGCCACTGTTATGATTTCCTAACATCTGTAGCCATCATTCATCATGCGTTTATTTGTGTTTTAAAAATCCATTTTTTGGTTGAACTTGTCCTCAAAGGCCATCAAAGTCCTGTGCGCATAGTGGGCTCTCAGGAATATTTGGTGAATGACGACTGATTAGATGAATGAATG